AAGTTAAGTTATTTTTCTAAGTAACTAAAAGGAAGATTGTTGAATGGTTGCGCGATCCTGCCAATGTCTTTAGTAAACAAAAAAAAGTGAAGTATTTTTACATTCAAAAAGTAAACAATGCTGACTACCATGTACATCTTATTCCTTTGATGATGATAAGGCTAACATGGCATACAGTTCTCATTTTAAAAATATTGACATGACATTTCATGAAAGCCTTATCAGCAGCACACCTTAAGTCAATACTTTAGATAAACTAAAAGTTATTCTAACCTAAATACTTCACTTTAATGACAGTTTTCCCTCAAGGGAACATAATTCTAAAAATTAATGGTGTCAATCTATATATTATGACATTCACAGCTGGGATGAAAGTTAACTTATAACAGCTATTTATCTTTCCATATGCTTACATAATATGTACCTGCTCTAAAGAAAACAAAATAGGCATCTATCTGAATCTGCATGCCAAGTTATCAATGAATGTAAATTAAAAAGCCATGGAAAAAAGTTACTTTCTAAGAATGCATAGTTTTAACCACTTGACTGCCCTGTTAATACTTCAATTGGCATAATGAATATATTCAATTGGCACAGAAAAAACTATTTGAACGCACTTATTTCGAATTTGACTCAAAAGATGTATTGATTTGGTTAAGCTACATTGTTGAAACTGACACACGCTTTATGTAATAATCAATTTACTAAAAGATTGGCTGGGTTTGAAGATTGAATTTAGGTTATTTTGGTTTCTAGATAGTTATTGTTTATGGCAGATGTTGAATTTTCAACCAGTATCTGGAAGACTGGAACCCCTTAAAAAGAAATAACTGAAAATCATATTAAACATATAGACTCTATATTCTGTCTATAGTTTTTCTAAATGACACAAGATATTTTAACCTATTTACAAAAGACAAACTTTATTAGATTCTCTCCATTTGTGCATCTATATATAACCATCCCTCTTCCTACAATATTTGGCAGAAGGTTCACACTTTAGATTTGACTGAGAAATGGGATTGAAAAGCTTTAAGGTATGGGAAGAGGTCATTTGTCACTAGACTTTTTTGCTGAAAGCCTTCCAAAAGTAACTGTCGTATAAATTCAAACTGTCGTACTTACAAAATGATCAAGATGCTCACCTATGCACCGTCGTACTTGTAATTATTAAGTAGCCATGAATAATGGTACGTACTTTACCATAGGTTTATTGGGCCTGCTTTTCAACATTTCGAAAAACAATTTCTACAGGGCTTTGTTGTTTTGATGTCACGTGACATGGTTGAGTTCATATTATTTCAAAATGGGCCTTAATTATTTAGAATATTTTGTGTAGCGAGCTACTCAAGCAAAAACTCTGTCCAAAAAGAACCATTTTTTATGAAAATTTGAATGAAGCTTTTACTGGTCCATCTGAGCATGGGCTCTACCACCTGATAGAGCCCATGATCTGAGTTTCTAATGAAACATTCAAGAGAAACATTCAAGAGAATCAAGAAATGCTAAGTGGTATGCATAGGCACTATGCCAATATTTAAACTTAGAGCCAGTTTGAAACTTCGTCACTAATAATCACGAAAAAAGTCAAATGATATATTGCTCTTCCCAATATCTTAGCTCAACTGACAATTAGGAATAAAGTTACTGAACACAGCCGGCTCAAAAGCCAGCTGAGGGAACGTTCAAATATACCCTCTTGTGAAGTGGTTTTCTCCAACTTCCAGCAGGCGCGCTGGAATAAGTAATGGTATTTAAGAAGATAATTGAATGTAACTTGCCCTTTTCATGATGCGTGGTGACAATAAGTTCTACTTGTTGTGTAATTTGCAGTAAAGTGGAGAAATTCCAGACCTGGAGCGTACCATTTTTGAATTTTTTGCGCATACATGCACATGCGCATTGTACTTAACATTTGCATGGGCATTGCCGCTGAAAGATCACTGTGACTATTCATATTTAGCTAACGCGAGTTATTTTGTAGCAAATCTTTACTTTCGAAAGTCACGAGATCTCGCGAGACCTAAAATGGCTGCAATCTAAATTCAAAAGTTTTGTTGTCTAATAGAACATTGATTTACTACAACAACAGACTGTTGAAGGAACAAAATAAGGTAACAACAAATAAATTATGTATTGATTCAAATAAATAGCGTTTTATAAACGCTACTCAGCACAGCGTTTAGTCAAAATGGGCTTGATTTTTTCTCTTCAAGAATTTTCAATACAGCTTCCCAGAGCTGACAGAAAGCTCGGTAGAGTAAGAATAAAGCTAGATCTACATACAGTGGGGGACAAAAATAAAACTCAACGTTCACAAGTTGTCACAATGAGCTAATTTCCAATTTTCGTGTCTCAAACTCTCCCAAGCGGTAGAAAAATAATTCCCGTTCACTAAAGTAGCACAATAAATGAATCCAAAGCTTCATACCTGCAAATAATGTATAAATCCCTACCAAATCGAATGAATGTTTTCATGAATCGCCATGTTTGTTATCCAAGGACGGTTGACTCCCAGAATGCAACATCAGATAACCGTATTTACTCATGACAGGTTTCAAAATGGCGGAACAGCATTTTGAAAGCTGGCACGTGTCATGTTGCATTCTGGGAGCCAATCCTCCGTTCCGGCGCAATCGGGCGACAAAATCACCTCAACATTTGAAGAGTCGGCATAACATGTGAATATCCAATTCAACTTTTGAAGTTCTTATTTGTCATTAGGGACACAAATTCCACTACTCCTTGTTAACTGTTAAAAATAATAAGCACATAACTTCGACATATGAGTGTTACCTGATGAATGGGACCCTCACGTGCCTTCTAAATGGTAGTAAACGAACGCTAGTGTAACTACATCAGCTTATCTTTCTGTCCGATCAACAATAAGTACAGTTATACAAGAAATGTAAACGAAGTGAAAATATTTCCAAAACTTTTCCGAAAGGCATGTCATTCCGGAAGTTATGATACGTTATGGTGTCACTACGGTTAATCATTGAAAAATATTGAAAAAATCACAAAATTCAAGTTCTGGTGTGAGGTTCCATATCCATCCGCCAAAAGGTATGACCCGATATAGTCCATTTAAAAATTTGTGGTTTTGTTCTAAATAACGCCATAGTTGGCTTCTAGGGTACCTAGTATGCCTCTATTTGGTATCAAAATAAAGAGGAGGAGTTCAACTTTCATTTGAATTACGAAAATACCGATGCAGGTCAAAATAGTTCCGGCGTGAGCATGTTTACTACGCGTTTGCCAATCATCTCAGAATTGAGGAAATGGTAGCAAACGCGAGTTACAATAAATGGACGCTGATATCTCAAAAAGAATTAGCCCATACAATGACTATATTTTTGCAATCCCCTATACATAACCTTCATCTTGACACTATATTTAACATAGGGTTTGTGTCTCGATTTTTAAATATCGCTACGCCAACATAGGGACTCATTTTTAGGTGAAATCCCTGCTTCCCCGATGAAAATTAATGAATAAAGTAGTTCCTGTTTAGGGGACCATATTCTTGAGATTTTTTTGCTAAAAATGGCACATTTAGAAAGTACTTGGCCTCAGCTTTACATACATACCTCAAATGGCCACAGTACATACACTTACACCTACTATACACACCACTGAAGTTGGCATTGCTTCGTTTTTAAAGTATTAATAAAAAACACTTCCTACCCGGAAGTGATATTTACCGTAATAACACCTTATATTACCGAACATGGGTTTAAATGGAATGTTTTTTGATCGCATTATTACACCAAAAGTAGTGCGAAAATGGCCTTTTCACGGGTTGGCATAAAGTTTTGATGAAATTTAAAGACACAGTTCCTCCTTCACGTATATTATCTCATGGAAATGGGCATACCAGCGCAAAGATCTTCGTTCCGTGGTGAAGAAAAGCTATCAAACATTGTCTGAAGAGCAGATTTATCTCCGTAATTCAACTTTTAGCATGGCGACCTTGACCTTGAAAAAAATATAGCCATTTGGGCGATAATAGGTGATTCAAAAGTAAAAAATAGTGCTTTTTCGAAGTTTTACTTTTACCATGTCAACTTGATTTTTCAAGGACATCCGCCTGATAGTTGTTGGGCCAAGTTTGATGGAAAATGGGCCTTGTTTGATATGCTGGCAGTGAGGTTGATTGTGGCAAGTAGTAAAACGGCAAACAATGGTGGAGTCATACCCGATGCTTGGATGTTCGCATTTTATTTAGCTCTCGTAAAATGAACGAACAAAAGTTCTATTTTCACGCATGTTCGGTAATATAACGTATCATCACTTCCGGAAATGACATGCCTTTCGGAAAAGTTTTGGAAATATTTTCACTTCGTTTACATTTCTTGTATAACTGTATTTATTGTTGATCGGATGGAAAGATAAGCTGATGTAGTTACACTAGCGTTCGTTTACTACAATTTAGAAGGCACGTGAGGGTCCCATTCATCAGGTAACACTCATATTTCGAAGTTATGTTCTTATTATTTTTAACAGTTAACAAGGAGTATATTTGGACTTACTAAGACGGAGAAAATAGAGCACTGAATACACTGAGGTAAGACTTTATTACATGTGCGACAGCATGTAATTTTCATAGCTTTTGCAATTCTTTATGATCCCCACTGTACTTGTTGATGGCCCTTGATCACATGTGAAGAATATAGGAACCTGAATAAAACTAAATCAGTGAAGATACATATGCCAAATATGTGCCCAACAAGTTTTTATCATAAGAGCAAAGGGGGATTGAACTGCTAATTTCATAAATAATTTGGCATAATGGAAATAATTTCATCTTGATTCTTCACACAATATTTTCTGCAAAATTCCGACCTGGCGACGCCCATTTATCCGTTAGATTTGACATACGTGAGGTATACTACACGCCAATTATGATTTAGATATGAAGAATTGCAATTAAAGAACAGTTTGGACTGAATAATGAAGTTATTCTGAGAGGAATAAGTGAGAAAAACAACAAAACTTACCTAAATTTTAGCTCACTTCGAATTTTTAGTAATATTATTTTGATCGCCCTGCGCATGCGTGAGCGGAAATAAAATTTCCCGGGAAAACTTAAATGGGGTCTCACAGAGACGCATTTGCGTTAATAAAACTCTTAGATTGATGCCTGGTGAATAACTTCAGTTTAGTGAGTCAAGGAGGAATGATAATTGCATATATGAATTTTGCTCTCCCCTGGGCCTCTGATCTGTATCAATAATTAAGATCAGTCCCGCCTTTAAAGGGCATGGCGGATTGGGGCCATCATGGGGCTTTCAACAGATCCATGAAATATTTAACCTCCTCACGGTTTCCCGCATATTCCAATTAGAAACATTTAATAAGAAAATGGATATCTTTGTTTGGATGATTACGAGCACTAGCGAGGATTTCCCATGCCGGATATATCTAAGCGCCGGGTCAATGACGGTTCTGAGTCCAGTCCATGGGCTTTCAAACAGACCCATTAAGAGGAGGAGGGCCAGCCGACATAATCCCCTTAGACTTAGACCCATTCCTTTCCTTGGTTGAGATCTATAAAATATATTTACATCATTTAGGCCTACAACATAGCAGGCTAGCGACCCGAGGACTGAAAATATACCCCTCCCATAGGCGTGGCTGGAGGTTTACGATAGACCGACCACCGATGAATCCTGTGATCGGAGGATGGACCACCGACCACCGTGAGTTAAACATGAAAAGCGTAACATCGTAGTGGTCTGTAACGATGCCATATTTTTAAGTGATGTCTCAGTTGTTAGTAGAAGACCACTTTCATTCAGGTTAGTCCATTTGGATCATGTTGAGAAAACCACGTAACATAACATAATCATTAAGTTCAGTATAAAAAGAAAAAAAACTTAAAGTCGGTTTTTAAAATCACGTCGTCATCTTTTTTAAAGATTAAACGCAATGTTTTCTCAGTTGTTAAACGTCAATCTGTTAAATCTACATGGATATTCAATATGACAAAAATAGCTTTCCAATGGTGTGCTTAAATTGTTAGTCACTTTTGATCCCTGGCAAGAGAACTCACGTATTTGTTAATCATTTTCATTAGAAATACGTAATTTTCATTCTGAGCCTACACCCCTAATACACACCAAACTAGTTCTCAACCGTTCTTTTCAGTTCTACAAAAAAACTCGTAAAACGGGGTTTTGGCTGTGGTCGGGAAATATGTCTAAAATAATTACAGTACTTCGTTCATAATTATCACAGTGTTCAATACGTCCATCGATCGCAGTTCGTTCATATCGCACCATGTCGGTGTGCATCTTGGATTTCCAAGGTATAATGTTTTGAAAATCAAACTGAGAAACGAGTATGGTCGGTGTCCGATAGTACAACGTCGTTAACGCGTCCCTATTAGTATCGAAGTACGGCAATTACGGCCTAGTTGTCTCACGATTTAGTTACAGAACGGTATGGTCGCCATCGAATTTAAGTGATTCAAAATTCTAAATCACCTTCCCGTCCAAACACGTTCATTAAGTATTCATTAAGTTCGTAAATAGATCATGGAAAGTTGTAGCTATGTTCATTCCACAGTTTAAAACCAGTTTGGCAACGTTTTTTAGAACGCAGGCAACTAGTTTGGTATGATAGCTATATTTTTGCTAACTCGTTCATAAGCAGTCTTTGATACGTCCTTAATCAGATTAAACTCGTTTGCAATTAGTTCTACCTAAAACGTTCCTACTAGGAGTGAAGTACGACGCGTTCGTAGTATGTCCAGCTCGTCTTACAGATGTTACGATCATCAGAAAATGGAGGACCTACCCGTTCGAGTACGTTAACCTAAAAATAAAGATTTCATTGTTGTGTATAATTGATAGGCTTACTATGATTGTTTTTGAACAGTTGGGGTTGTCCTTGTTTTGGTTGTGTTTTCGTTATATGATGAGGTTAAGATTGTGATTATTGTTGGACATTTTATTATACGATTGTATGGTGTTTTAACTAGAAATGATAATGAATATTTTTAGTCTTGCTTCAAGAATCAAGACTGTGAACCTCCCCCTTATTTCCTTCACCAACATAACGCACTTGAGAGGAGGTGCGTAAATGCACTTGCGAGGAGGTGCGTCAATGCATTCGTGAGGAGGTGCGTAAATGTGGGGGAGGGGCTTACAGGGGCTTGTCACTAGACTAGAATATTTTATGCAGATCGTTCAAACTGAAAATGTATTCGTTATGAAATCGTGATTGCGTTTCATTAAATAGATAAGTTGTAATTGTTTTATCGAGTGGTTATTTAAGCTTTGCTGTTTTATTGCGCATTTAGGTTGTGATTATTAAAGTAAAGGTTATCCTTTACTTATTAAAACGTAAATGAATAGGAGCGAGATTGTGATTGAAAAAGAGCTGACGTTGTATCTCCAAGTGTGGGTGGAAATAAAAAAGGCAACATCAATTTTCAGAATTAATGCTATATATAGAAATTCATTATTAATTGCCTATTTTGCTACCCTTTGCATTCGTTCGACTTCACTTCCTAAAAGAGAGCTTCATCTTCAGTAGTTTATAACTCGACTCTGCGCGCGGGGTACTATTTTGCGTACACACAATCATGAATTTTTGAATTCAGATTTTGATTTGAATTTTTGGGGTTGTAATTGTGCTTTATTTGATTGAGTATGGCACATGTGGGTGTAAATAAAAAGGCAACATCAATTTTCAGAATGAATGCATATATTAGACATTCATTATTAATTGCCCATTTTGCGTACACGTAATCGTGTATTTTTGAATTCAGATTTTAATTTGAATTGTTGGGGTTGTAATTGTGTTTTTATTTGATTGAGTATGGCACTTCTAAGAAGTAGTAACATTTTGTTATTGCCACCGTTTCCGAGTGTTACATTCACTTCAGCGGTTGTAACGCATTGTTACACATTCGACGGATTCTCAACCGCTCAATTGTCAATTACTTCATTGCAGTATTATAAATATTTTTCTCAAATTTTTAAATTGATAGTTTCAAGTTTGTTAAAGTGGTACTTTGTCTTTTTACTATTTTCCAATATCCAATACCCGAAGAAACTTGAAACTTTAAATGGAGTAAGTAGGAACATGTAATATCAAACAGCTAGATCACTAAGATGGCATTCTGATACTCATAGCATCTTTCTGTTTCACCATCTCCAGGGTTGAGAAAAATTGAGATGCCAAGGTTTATCATGATGCTAAGATGGCTATATGGTTGGGATTGTCTTCTCGAACGAAGGGTTTGATTGTGGTTGATTGTGTTTCATTAAACTTGTAATTATCTGAATGTGATATATCAAATGCTTAGTTGTTTTCATTTCCTTGGAATACTCAAAACCTCTAGAACCAATAAGAAATAAATCATTAGGTCACACTGACTTAATAGAAGTGAAATATCGACAATCTAGTTTAGAGCGATTGATAATGTTAACAGTACGGGGTTAATGGGAGTTCCAATGGAGCCTTGGGTTTAATTCCACAAAGACATCTTTGTTTAGTAGATCAATACTTAATCTGTATCATGTTGGTTGCTATGGTAACAACATCAGAAGCGTGTATTGAAACGACTGTTGAAGATTTAGTGGATGGCTATACATCCACTGCGATTATCCAGAGACGACCTGTTGAGCTTTGAAAACATGATTCATTGGAAAGTGATAATATGCAATGCCTGAGGGTTCTGCTAAAGTTATTAACGGCCATCAGGGTCGTACTATTTGGCACACTTGCTCTTCTGGCAATAACTTGTAGAATTTGGGAACATTGATTTTCCCAGTCCTTCTTTGCTGCAATTCCATGCATACAAGGTGGGCCAGAAAACTTCCACTTTTTATGTCACCACTAGAAGTGGTGACATATTGTTAGTCTCCCAACCTTTTGTGAATGGTGTTGTGTCCGTGCATGTAATGGCTTATTTATTTTGCAATAATTTTTTTACTAAGTCATGTATTAGAAAATATGTTTTTATGAGCACATTAGGGGGATTATTGAAAATTCCTCAAGGTAACTTAGACTCATATTTACAGTATTTGTTATACTTAAAAGTATTTAAAGAATTAGGTATCTTGAACAGTCTCTCATAGAGGCACAATATGCATTGTTCTTACTCTTAGTTCTTACGATATTGCAGTTGTTTATCTGTTCAAAACTGGAATGTTGGGAATGTATTGAATGAACTGGTTGAACAACAGGCAAAATGGATATGGTTCCCAAAAAAACTTTATGTACCAGGTACAAGCTTAAGTCCAAACATTAAAATGCAAGTTTTTTGCTCAGTTTGGGAGCTTTTATTTATGATCTTTCCCACAAATGAAATATCTAACTAAAGTTTAATCCATTGTTAGATTTCCCATAGTCATCCTTTTCTTCAGAGCTGTATCATTTTTTCTTCATCACTATTTTTGTCATCACTTTTTCTGATTAGTTTCAAAATATTGAGCAGTGAGCACCCTGACCATAAATCTCTGGGACATAATTTATAAGACTCAACCGACTTATAATTTAAGGCATCACCAAAATCACTGTAAAATTGTTCCATAATCATGTCACGGAAAATTTGCACTTAATGAAACTTTTGCCACATTTTATATACTGGGTCTTAGATTTTTAAGGATTAATGGGCTTAATGAAGTGAGGACGATTTTAAGCACAAATGTCAAATGACTTTGGTCGAGGGCAGGAGCCAAAATTCAAAGGTTAGGATACAAGAAATTGCAAATGATTTTGTACTGGATCACTAAAAAGAAAAAGAATGAAATTCAACCAGAAATTTTTGCAAGTGTTTTGCAATGTTTGAGCATTTGTGAGAATAAAATTTTCCTCAATAAAATGAGGCCGAGAAATTCATTTTAAGGGATATGACCAGAACCAAATAATTTTTACATCAAGTCTCTGCACCCCTCCTCTAGAACACTCACCTCCACAGTAAAGTATATTGGACAAATGTTGGAAGGGGAGGGACCAGAGCCTTAGTGGAACACTTAAGTTTCAGTTTCATCTCAGTAATAATTGGGATGCTTGTAGATTTGATCATATTTTGATGCAATCTCTAAACTAGGTCGTAATTCTCTCAACAACACACCACAACAGAAAGCATAAATAATGTTTCAGATATGCATTTATTTATTTACTCTGTAAGACAAGATATTTTCTTATCTTTACTATGTCTCTATCTACTTATGTGATATCTTTATACACAACTTTATACACAATATTTTAAAATACAAAATACACACCTTCAACAATTAATGGTTTTGACTTTTGACTTTGAGTTGTTTCAATAATATACATTATAAATATGGCAATTAATTAGTATAGTACATATTTATAATAAAAACCTTGTTAAGATGTACATACATGTAGTTAAATAGTTTGAAGATCATTTCCTCATTAAATATATATCTTGTAAATACTAAATAGAGTTCCTTGGATGAGTTACTGGAAAATGTCTTTACTTCTCAGTGCATTGGACAACACTGTAAACCTAGAAAATTACAGGCAATTAAATTTTGCAAATTTGCTCCGATTTGCAATTATGCATGTTGGCTAGACTTTTTCACATTTTCTGGACAATTTGGTAATACAGTTACAGGCTAGACTAAAAGATTGAATCCAATTGTCAAATCGAAGCCCTGTCTATATAAGCGTAATATCATACCAAAAATATCTAGGTTTCCAGTTCATTTTTTGTCCAGTTAATGCGATGAAGATCATTTCCTTACAAAAACAGAACACTGTATTTGTACCAAAATATTGTTACAATTACTGTACCATGAGATAATGTCTGCTTCCATATATCCAATATGATTAAAAAAAATCTTGTATGAACTCTTCAACTAAAATCATAAAATATTTTCATAAAGGAACTCCTTTATGGTTTGTGTACTTGTCAGTACTACTTACAAATCTTATATTTTCGTAATTTGAATTGATATTTAAAGTCCTGAACACTCATTCTTGCACTGAACATGGGCCTAGCTAGGTTTGAGGTAGGTAAGGCTATTGCCAAACCAGAAGTTTAATAAAAAAAATGGTTTTGACATTTTAGCAACAGTGGCTTTGAAAATGATGTGTCATAGCAATAATATATCCTCTTTGGGTAAAGTCCTGTCTCAGCTTTTTAAATGTAAATCACCTATTTTTGGAATATGTCTATGCCCCTGCTGACTTTGCAAGATCTTTTAACTCTGTTGATAACTTCCATATTTTTATGTCATTGATTTTAGTGATAAAGAGGAAGCAAGTGATCATTAATTGTTAATGGCAGGTTAAGTTAATTACAATAAGGCAGTCATAATTGTTCAGAGATAAAAATTATAATTTGAATAAATTGGTTTGCTCAAGATTTAATCAAAGAGAATGAATCAAAAGAAAACTAAAATAAGCTAAATAAAGATAAATTAACTTAAGAACAATGCACAGTGAAAACTTCTATTTAATGAGATGGTGTAGTGTGCAGTTTAATGTCTGAGAAGATTGTGCTTATATTGCATCTGATGCTCAATGATCACGTTGATCCTGGTGGGAGTCATCTTCACTTGATCTCGATCCACCAGGGAGACTTCATTGTGTCATTTCCATATGGCGTCTGCTTCTGGGAGGCTCCATTGTTTCCATTTCATTCTCCAAACACTGTTGAAGACCAGAAAAAATAAATATAAAATTTCTGTTCGCAAATGATATCCTGAATGAAATTTCACAAAAGGACCCATTCTCCATGCAGCATTCTTGAATCACGGAAGTATAGAACTAGTTACGAACCCCTTTACCTGGGGATGCCATGCAAGGGAGTGTGCATGACTGTTCCCAAACCAACAGCATGCAATAACAGTATAAACTTTGAATGAAACTTGTGCATGTTATTATTTTGTTTGTGTAGTCACCTATAGTGTTCTCCCCATGATTCTCAACTGGGTGATCTTCTCATCTGTTATCTACTGCAAAATTATTTTCTCATTTCAAATTGGTGCTGCACCTGGTTGACTGACCACTCGGGAGATCACTGCATTGGTAGTGAGGGTTTATTGGTTCATTGACGGCAATAGCAGGCCACCTCTCTGATGCATTCAATTGCAACAACATGACAATCAGTCGTTGAATCTAAACCTCATTACATTTGAGAGAAGTGCCCCCTACCCCAGTGCAACATACAGGTGTATTAACAGAGTCCAGAACAAACAATACATTGTCTATATAAACAAGTGATGAAGCACTGATTAATTAATGTGATGTGATGCAAAACAAAAACTCAAAATTAAATGAATTCATCCCAGATCTTCTCATAGATTCTCACAGCTCAGTCCAAATTAATATGCACAACTTCAATGCTTTTGATTTTATTAACTAGAATGTATTTTCAACAATCCATCAAACTCTGGGATTTCGCTTTGCATTGCAAAAACATGGTGCTTAATATAAATGGTGCTTAAAAAGTGCACATAACTACATTATCTATGTACGCATCTTGCATTACAAGCCTATAACATACCAGGCTTTAAAAATTAATCACATTGTGGATTAGTATCATAGGAGGCGTTAATACTAAAACTGGTGAATAACAAACAAATGTGACTACAGAAAGTGCTTGTGCAATATAAATTCTCAATAAAATACATCCTTTCAGCCTAACCTATTTACAAGGTGCATCATAATCAAGGAAACATGGATGGTACCAAGGGAAAAGGTGGTCAACAAATATGTTAAATAAAGCACATATACGAGGATTGTCCCAAAAGTATGAAACGCATTTGAATCATTTGTTGAAGGCAGCAGAGCAGTATTTCAAGAGTAGGAGTTCTGATTGAATAGGCTAAAACAGACATGCTATTAAGCCTCCTAAATTGAAAAATGAGTTTAATTCTGACATTTATGTTCCCTTAGGTAACATCACAAGTTTCATTAATTATTGAACACCTTGTATAATCCTAGGATTTTCAAGTGCAGGTATAAAATCTTAGTATACTATGTTAATTTAATTAATAAAATAATAAAAAGATGTGCCAGAGATACACTGATACAGGGTGTACTGAATTGGATCTTAAAATTAACAAGTAGTGAAATTTTTAAATATTTGTTCATTTCTGTATGTGACTCAAATGCAATGTTTTGATACCATGTCTTTCACAAACGTTACAATAGTCAAATCATAAAAACTAATTGAATTCCATCAATTACAGGCTTTCAAATATGGAACAAAACTGTGCATTGTGACATTTACAAGACCTCTTGATAAGGATGAAAAGTTTTCTGCCATTTGATATATTTCCCCGTAAATTGACTGCTATCCCAAGGGTGGTGTAAACTAGATGTGATACAAAACTGTACAAGCGATAAAAGTGGCAGAATGAAAGCATTTTCTCATAAATCCCGCCTGTTCACACAAAAGTTCAAAAATAATCCTTACAGATTGTATACAAATCTATAGACAATCACCATGATATCTTGTAATGTAAGGCAAAAATCCCAAAAAGTTCAAGCAATGGGAAATTATCAACTTAACAAAATAAGAAATTTATGATTAATAACTTGATCACTAAAACAACTATAGCAAGGTGTTGTAATGCATTAGCATTTCACGAGATTAAATGGCACAAATGGATACTGTATCAATATTTAATCTCCATTACCATGAAAGCATTACTAAGTGAAAATAGATCACATTAACAGTGTTTCAATTCCGTTATTGGGAGTACCATATACAAATGTACATATATGAACAAATTGTTCATATTTCCTCATACTTAGATTGTCATTTAATGGAGAAAATAATAATCTGGCATCAAGTAGTTCTTTCAACACCATGTCTTATTGTACAAGTAACAGGCAGTAACAATTCTTGCATCAAGTCCCTAAAATCACACCTCCTTCACCCTTACAAGTCTTGAATATCACTCCTCCTTTTCCCCCATAAGTCCCTAATATAGCCCTCCTTTTCCTCATAAGTCCCTAATATAGCCCTCCTTCTCCCCAGAAGTCCCTAATATAGCTCTCCTTCTCCCCAGAAGTCTCAACTGTCCTCCTTTATCACTCAAGTCCCTAATATTATCCTTTTTTTCTCCCAAAGTCCCAAATATTGCCTTCGATTTCCCTAATATTGGCATTCCTTTGTGTTCTGGAGAAGGGGGTGTAAATGGAGAAATATAACAGGACATAAGGACTTGATACAAGAAAAGTAAGTCACCTGAATTTTATTTAAATCATAACTATTACATGAGAACATCACATGTACAGACGGCCAGAATTAGGGTGAGAAAGAATGTAGTTTGTTCAACTTATACTCTATACTCTATGTTAAGGTTATTTATTCAGATATTGTGTAAAATGAAGTCAAGATGAAATTCATTTTATGGTTGAGCATACATTGATAGTTTGATGCAATCGTTAACAATACATGCACGCAGCAGCTTGTGTCTCATTAAATAACACTTACTTTTTTGATATAGCAAAAGGGTGCAGGGACAATTCAACACAAACTTATTTACTGGGATAGACAATATAAGTGTTTGTATTGTATACTGACCATTATATGTCAATACCATAGGCATTCTAAATGTATACAGACCATGTAACATCCCACAACTAAGTTTGTGTTAATTGTAATGTACATACATAAAATTGTGCATTGATTACTCAATGATTTTGATGCTTATTCTAGATAGGACATGTGTTTTGAAGCATTGCATAGTACTTATAATATCCAATTTGTTCAAATATTTAGCACTTTTTGTTACGCTTGGGTGACATTTCAGGATAATATGCAAAGCAGGAGTATTTAGTTTACTAACCAGACTTGTGTTTTATTAAAGGAATAGAGACTGTGATTCTATGAATTCTGGCATGATATATGACCACTGATTTTTCTTTCTAACATTGTTAAAAGTCCAAAATCATGAGGCAATAACTGATGTCTTTGGTAATGGGTTGAGTTTAGTGAAATGTCATATATTTTACTTTAATCATAGAATCAAGCTTTGTTCCAATTCTAATATGAAGATGACAAAAAAAGTTAACATCTATTTCACAATTCATTTTCAATTAAGGCCATTACCTAATTAGAAATAATACAGGGTGTCCATATTCTCTATACTTAACACAGACTGTATTGGAATTGTAAAGAGGCTTTATGGGCACGCTGTATGTTCATATTCCAGTAATTCAAATGTTTGCTTAATATTTAAATGTCAGTCATACATCATATTAGAATTCCTATTCAGAAGTGTTTTTACAAATCATGTATCCAGTAGGTGTCTACATTCAGTATTTCACCAAGGTAATTAAATGAGTCTAACATCTTCAATGTGTGGCCATTTTGAGATTTATGCAAACAAGAACCAGTGACATCAAATACCCACACCATTTTTTCATGCAGTATTAGAATAACATATAACACAAGATAGCTGTGGTATGGTATTGATATTATTCTGTATTAAACTGACTAGCGACAGCTACACTTAATGATCAAATCTCCCCATGCTGGTTAGATTAATCACAATACAAAAACGAGTCCATCAATTTCCAATTCTCAACTCAACTCCAGACATGACTAATCAATCAGATTTCATCAATTAATCAATCAACAAATAAGTCCGACTGACATTGTTTCATTGTCAGATTGTCATAATAAAGTTCATGATCAATTGTCTATTATGTGTTTTAGGTTGCTTCCATTAAACTCTCAAATGACACGAAGACTATATTTTCCCGTTGAATTAAGTGTCCTACTTTATCCTCATAGTTGCACAGCTAAAAGAACAGACATTCAATTATTGAAAACTGATTAACGAGACTGATATCTATCAATAAGGATAAAAGAATTTAGGAAACATTTGAAAAATGATTAAAGGGGTTCCATCTAAGTCTACATGTAAAGGTCAACTGATGCTACCATCTAGTAAAGATTATGTACAGTTTTAAAGATTGGTTCATGATAGGAAAGTAAAAAAAACATCTACAAGATATTATGACTATTTTTATATTATATTTAATTCTGAGAATTATTATTTATTATGATTTTTAGTAGGATTACATTTTGAAGTACATACTACTAAATAAAACATGATGCACGCTAAGCATTAGTGAATTACATTACATGTAGCAAGCAGGTTCTGGGTGAACGCTGAATCATTCCAACAAAAATAAATAATGATTTTCTTAATGAACAAAGGTTGTTTGTAAAAAATTGAAACTGATCAAATAATTATTGCACTTTCTATTAAAATGATTCATGATTAACATGCAATTTTCTAGCTAGTGATACTATTTACAGGGTGACCAAATCACATGCTTAACTTTTTTGCCCACTCTGTAGTTACACTACATTCAGAATATCTCACAGACTCTTTCAAATCAATTGCCATACAGATACATATACAAAATACTATGTCAACCATAGCAGATCCAAGATGATAACCATACCTTATATTTCAAAGTTCATATAGAGTCTAGTTTGGTAAAAATTGCTTTGATGGAACTTTGAATAAATCATAAAATCCAAAAAATAATTTGCTGCTCAATCAAATAATATTCAATAGTATGAATGTTATACGATGAAATGAACCTAAGGTTTATGCGTATATACTACCAAGAGCATGTTTAAGCTCCAAGTGGCCCACTGTTAAATTTCGAATAGGAAATTGCAATTATATTGCAATGGCAGTATGTGTTATATCATCTATATGGCAAAGTATACAACCCATGTTAAAATATCACAATGGTCCACTCATTTTCATCAAAATACTGATTTTCAGTTTACTTCTATAAAATGAAGAGTGACAACTATTCTCAATACACAAGCTGTAAAGCTACTATTTGACACAATTTCATATTTGGAATTTTTTCGACCATTATAACATTTTCTACATGGGCAGAGAGTAGATAGGATAGGGATAGTGAACCTAATGACAAATTATCTATTTGGTATATAAGTACAGTACAGTAAAACCTGGGTGTGTGAACTCAAAACATAAAACCTTATAATGTGAACCAAAAGGTGTTCAATGATAACATTCTGAACCTGTTTAGTGGTGTTCACTTGAAACAGAGTTTACTGTATTATATTATATTACTATGTACTACATGAACATCATAAGTGAATATCTATTATCTAACCATATTTTTACAAACAAAAATACATAGGAAATTGAAATTGACTAAAATTGTTATGAAATCAACATATTAAATAATAAAAAGAATTACAACTTCATGCAGCTTGTTTGAAATAAAATCATATCTGATATTTTTTGTACAACTAAAAATAATTTTGCACTAACTGGTGCACAAATTGAGATAGAACATCATTCATTTTCAGAAGTCCAGAGAGATTATACATAATGATTTGGACTGTTTCAATGAAACGATTTCTATTTCATGAAATCAATAAAACCCAGCAAGGCGGTACTATTCTATATACACTATGTACAGAGACATCTATAAAAACTCAAACAGAACTTAAATGGGATCTAAATAGGGAGATCACATGACGTCGACAAAGTACAACTCACAGGGGTTTCCCATCGCCATGCGGAATGATTGGCGGCTTCCACTGACGTCTGGACTGACTTGAGCTAAGTCTCTCGGGGGAGGAATTGGTTTAGCTGCTGGATCTGGTTTTGTTGGTAAAACAGAAGGATTGGGATTTATGGGTGTGACTCGGCGCATACTCGCCAGAGAAGCTGTGTCTGTGTCACTACCGCTCCCACTAGCTGACTTGCGATCCAGATTGTTCTTTTTACTGCGACTACTACCAGAAGTGCTGCTACCTGTAAGCAAACATACAATATTAAGTTAAGAAAACAAATATCGCCATAACGATAACATCTTTTAAATAGTGGATTTCCGAAAAATAAATTATCTTGATACTTAATTATCAAACATAAATTGAAATTAATCTTGTCTAAATTTGCTTTCATTTAGAAGTATTAATCAATATCAAATTTTAGCTATTGATTATCAAAATGTGTCTCAAGATAATCACCCTCCCGGCCTAAAAACACATGCAGCAATTTTTGACAATGACTTTCCTCTTTTGTTTCTCAATTTTACTCTTAAATTCCATTTACATTTGGTAGAACAGAGAGGGCATCAAACCATGCAATTGTTAGTTTAACAAATGTCCCACTTCCTAGCAAAATGCAACATTGCAATAGTAGTACAATGGTGATCATTTTCATTTCTCAATCATGCATTCACAATATATCATTTTCCGTATTTTTCTACAATTATACACAAAAAGACTTCATTTTTACTGAACACCTAGTTTTGTTAGTTTGATCGATAATAGTGTCAGGGCCATGCATACAATACTGCTCTCAATAAATAGATCATCTTTCAAATCATTTTCATTTTCAAATACATACGAGTATAAATATTTAGCCTTTGAAATAGGCATGCAATTCATTTCCATCAATTACAATGTACATTTCATAATCATTGTTGCCACATTTAATCACTGATATTATACATCAATCTTTTTGAAAACTGGAAAAACATAAAAGTGATTGGTTGATACGAGCGTTGTGATACAATATTACGAAGCCAACTAAAACATAAAAACACACACCACTCGGGCAACATAAAATGGAAGCCATACCCGACAAATATGCATCTCAAGTTTCTCTGGGTTATATATGGCCAAAATTTGAACATTTATTAGACAGATGAGGTGTCAGAAAGCATGAAAACAGAAATTATCATCAATTTTCTGAACATATGGTATAAAGGGACTATATTATCAATGTAGAGGGAGTATTAGAATATATCTCACAATGCCTGGAAAATGCAGGACAGAACAAGATCGTGTTTAAGACCCTTTAAAACATGCAAGTGGAGAGGGTTTTGTTTTATTTTATCAGGTTTTGTCTGTATTGAGCAAGTAGGGAATTTTCCATAGGAGGACTTAAGGATTTTAATATTACAAACTCAGGATATTTTATGGTTTCTCAATATCAAATTTGAGAGCATGCCAACTAACACACATTTTCAAATATCACAATTGTTCAATTTCAATTTCACAAAAAAAAAATATCATGAGTTTTGCGATAGAGGGGTACTGGTAGAGATGCATATCTGGGTTCGCCGAATGCTCTAAGGTTCCTGGACTATTGAAACTGTAGTTAGGTATACGTCTACCTGACGATGAACCTCCAACTTCCTGTTCACTAGCTGCTCCATCATTATTATTCAACTCAAGTTCTGGATCATCTGTAGATTCATTTTCACTGGTTTTGTGATCTGTCTGGATATTGGGAGGTGGGGGTAGCGCTGGGGGTGGCGCTTTGGGCTTGGGCTTGATGTTGAGGGGGAGGCAACGGCACACCCCACCATGGGCTGTTGTCATAGTTGTCACTGTGTGTGATGATATGGTGTCAGGGAATGGAGGAGGGACAAAAACAAACCAGACAAGAGTTACTACATGGTGTCAGTATCATTACATGTAAAACTCATTCAATCCAATCCAACAAGACAAATCTTACATCAACAGGAAATGTTAACATAGAATTACATATGAAACATCCTGAACAGGAGCAATCAAAAATTAATCTTAAATTAAAGTAACATTTATATGCGGCTTTTAATTCAGTTTAAGGATCCTTTACATAACCATATTAGTAACAAAAAGTAACACAATCATCATTTTCATTGTGCACAATTCATTTTGATCACTTTTACAACTCATTATGATAAATGCATGATTGAGAAATGAATGCAGGTTAGACTGGTTACATTCATAATTTCAGACACCGCTTCAACATAACAAAAATTAAAGGGCTAATAGCTGTTATTCTCATTCTAAATAACCATCTAATTTAATTCATTAAGATAGGTCACTTTCATAATCAATAGATTTTGATACAGACCTTTGTTTCTGTAATAATTGTAGCTTAAAAACTATCCATGTAGAAAATGCCTTGTTGAAATTGAAAAAGTGTACATTTTTTTTAATTTGTAATCTATCATACTGCTTTCAAGGTGAGGACTTTTTATCAAATGTTGTTATTTTCCGTGGAAAGTTCATATTGAAATCTATTAATTACATACATGTACTGTGTTACTTATCTTTATGAATTAAATATATTTCAGGGTTACTGAGGATGAGAATTACAGGATTAGGGCCTTTAATATTCAAATAAAAAAACTGCTTTGTGTGATTGTGCAACACTACTACATATATGTGTCTTGTCTCAAAAAGCAAATTGCATTTATATCCATGTAAATTGAATGTTATGGGTAGATATTTTTTGTTTATTTGAAACAAGACTATCTATGATAATTTCACAATCTAAATAATACCAAATAAAAATAACTACTGTGCTAGTGCCTGTATCACAAAATAAACTGAAAGTGCATTGCATATGAAATTCCCTGCTCTGAAGCCCTATTTTTATATCCATTTAGACCCCTTAGTACTCATTTGTGATACAATATTGCCCTGTCGGAAAATTTAGATGTACTAGTATTAATATGAAGCTTCTACACCCTCGATGACACATGAATATAGAATGAAGATACAAATGAATCAAACACTGAAATAATGAACGTCATAAGGAAACATGAAGACTTTAGGACACACATAAAGAACAAAGGGCAAAGATGCGACTTAAATAATCAAACAGAGGTAGAGGGTTAAGAAATTAATTAACATAGAGGCATAATTAGAGTAGAAGGGTTTGTGGTGTCGTAGAGGGGTTCATGTGTAAAATGACAAAATTTCTACAAACCAGTGCTACTACTCGTGCTGCGGTCTATATCAAATTCATCAGGGAGATCAGATTTAGAATCGGCAAGAAAACCACTCTCCTTGGCCGCTTTTTTGGCTAGTTTTTCCTTTTGTTCTTGATTTAGCGCATTCTCTTTGTCCTTATTGACCCAGAGTTTGCGTAGATGTTTATACGTGTGATTTACAACATTACAGGCACATGCCGCATTATTATGTGAGGTGGCGTGAGTCAGGGCTACAAGACAAACACAAGAGAACCAAGGTCAGCAGGCAGTCGGCACTTGCAGGCCCAGGCTTGCAGGATCTGTCCAGTCAAACATGGCAGCCAAGCAAACAGCACACGCACAAACTTATCCCAAAATTGTAACCCAAGAGATGTCCCATGCATTTCAAAGTGGAATAACAGGTCCAGACCCCAGACCATGCAAAATTAAATGGAGATATGTTTCCGTTTGAAATCAATGAAATTAGTACAGATTGCAAAATAATAATTCAGATAGAAGTAATCAATGATAATTCAAACAAATAAAAAGTAAACCAAATCAATGTGTAAAATACCAAATCCAAAATAAAATCAACATATTCCAGGTCTGACATCCAATTACATGCAGAATCACCATTGGTATCCTTTTAGTGTAAAATCAACAAATATGATCAAATCGCAACATGCTTTAAGGTATGGCAGAGTAGAAGTAGCAGCAGAGTAATCTGTCAGTTTGCATACTGACATCATGTGCAAAGTTTCCCTACATGACCCACCTTAAAGCATGCATGTATCAAACGTATAACATCATTTCACATGAACAAGCAGTGCAAAAAAACATGAAGGAAAAATAGAGATGAAAACTGTTGTCAGCCAAACTTATTTTCATTTAAAGTCATAAATAAATAAACAAATAAAAAATTGGGATTTACGACGATCACTCTTAAAATCGTCAAGCTTTATAATTGAAAATCTAAAAGCAACATGTAGTGGGTGTACTCAGATGCATTCAATGAATGGATGTACTGTAGGTATGGTTTGCTAGGCTGCACATGTAAAGCTCCCAATAGACCTAGTATTAGTTTCCCTATACTAAATGGCCATACTGGGTTAAAATCTGAACAATCTAGCACCATTTTATATTTATCACAAATGAAAATAGATATTCAATGACTATTACAAGTATTATAATAACAAGTGCAAGAGAATAATTTTTTTCAATGGTGATAGACTGCTCATAATTCAAATTAATAAATGGACTACCAATATCACAAGTTTTAGCCACTTTCATCAATATTAATCAGAACTAAAAAGTTTCATATTAAATTAAAATATTTTTATGACACATCAGTTTTGTGCATTTAATCTTGTGAAGTTATGAGAGTTATTCAACCATTTTTAATGTTAGAAACTCTAATAGAGGTCATGAGAGTTTTCCATTAATGACTACAAGTAATCTACAAAGTAAGATAAGTGACTAAAACTTGTTGTTTTCTATGACAAGCATCATAAGGTACAAATTCACAAAGAAATTTGAGAACTGAACATGAAATAAAATGGGCAGCAAAAATGAGGTAAAATAAGTTGAAAATAGTGATCAAAAGTAAATTCAGCTCTATAAGTATCTAAATCAGATTTTTAATGTTTTAATCCCATTTTACTGGCATTCCGAGTCTTGAGAAGATTTAGCATATCCTGCCTATAAGCACATAGGAGAGATAGCTACAGGCTGTTGTTAGTCAGTCGAACTCCAAGCGCTGCATCAAAATGCACCGCAGGTCATTCCAACAATAATATCAACTCAACTTTAAAACTGTTAAAACATTAGAAAGAAACTGACGAATCAGAGAAGAGGTTTCATAACAGCCAACCAATCATGTGTCAGCTTACAAACTCACCTGAACCACTGTGGACACTTTCGTTGCCATGTTCTGTGCATGTCTGGCTCATACTAGTGCAACTAGTCATATCATTGGTGAAATTTGGAGGGGGTGGCGCGTAACTTATCGGGACTTGTGGTGGAGCAGGTGGTTTTGCCGTCGTAAAGTTAGGTCCATATGAGTATTGTGGGTTCCAGGCAGGAGGGGGTAGGGGTGCTAATGTGTCTCTATCTGCTTCTGATACACTGTCTACATCCTCCAAACTTAGCTGGGACATGTCTACTGGATACGCTGTAACATGAAACAATTAAAGTGAATAGACATTCCCTGTAAAGAGTTTTGTTTTCAAACAAAATGTTAAGCTATATTATTTAGTGTATCACTAATTAAGAGAGTTTTGTGAAATATTAACAACGTAAATATTCTTCAATATAGTCTAATAAATCAGCAGTGACTTAGAATCTAATTAAATTCTTAATGACGCAGAATAGTCGACTTTGAAAAAGTGATCACTTACTACTTCCACACATGTCCCCAAATATATAGTAACACTGTTCAGAGAAGGTGATTTTGTTCACTGTATGTTTGATGTAGCCAGCTTTTAGTAAATTACATGCATAACGTCGGGAGTCTCTCCTATCAGCAAAGCCTTCCACGTGTGTGTGTAACCATTCTACTAAATCTGATCCTGCAACAGAAATCAACAGAATATTCATATTCAGCTGTGTTACGATTAAGTATTTTTAAGTGGGTTTGGAGGGATAACGTTTGAAAAATATTTGGATATAATCTTGTGCTTTTTCAAAATGGCTAATTGAATTTTGCATTAGCACCAACAAAAGTTCCTATCATAAATGTCCAGCAGTTGTCCATAAAATTCAGAATTTAATCATCCTTCGCTAATTAGTAGTTCCACTCCATAGACCCCATGTTAAATGGTTCCCCTTTGGAATCACTTTATAGGCAATAACCCTGAGATTATGGATCAGGCTGTCAGGAAATAACCTCTACATTAAGATTACGTCATAAATCCTTTACTTTTTGGCGTTTAATTTACTCATAGTAAAAACTCTACTCAGATGTAAGTGACTTCAGTTTTTGATTGATCAGGTCTATCACACAATGAAAGCATACAAACAGAAATAGCCAAATCTGATGGGGAAGTATGTTATTGATGTCTAGTGGGTTTCTAAATGAAGTCTCCCCTCTACATATTCTCATCATTCTTTAAAGTAATTTCAACTTTACTCCGCGACAAGCCACGCTAATAGGACATAAAATCAATAATTCTGGTAATGAATTCTCAAAATAGAACCAAGAAGATCCAATAAAACCCATGTCTTCTCCATCGTGTTTTGAGTTGAAAACTAGAGTGAAAAGATGAGAATCAGCAAGGAATAAAGTACACATGATGTGTTATGTACATAAAGGTGGTCTTGTTCCTAATTTGTCCCCTCCCATTAGCAATTTCCCTAACAGTACCCTGTGTAAGCTTGTACATTAAATGGTGAGTGAGAGGTATCCTTAGAATTGACATAGACTTACATGTAGTTGATTTTTGAAATAATACACAAATGCCAGGATATAAAACAAGGCAAAATGTCACCACCAGCCATTTGAAACAGACAATGAACACCAAACAATGAGTGCTGAATGCCAAACACCAATCACCGAACACCACCCACAAAAAGTTGGGGACCATAACAATATATCATCACTTCTGGTGTTGACATAAAAATCAAGTTTATGTGTGTAATTGAGTTTATGTGTGTAATCGAGTTTATGTGTGTAATCGAGTGAAATTAACATTTTATACAAGAAGTTTTCTGCGTGATTGGGAATGGCACAAAATTAAGTACCTCGTTACAACGGAGTGGATTAAATATAATATGACAAGTGAGAGGTTTTATGCATGGGTTGACTAGCTACGTTGATCTTCAGTGTTTTTTTGACTAGGGATATAGTGAATACAAAGAATTCATGTCATGCAATAGTTCATCCACTGTCTTTCAGTTTCTATTTTCAAAGCAAGCAATGCCACAAATGTATTTTCTGACTCCAAACTGGAAAAACATTGTGAATATATATGTATCTACTGTACAGCTGGAGCCAATGGATTAAATAAATAGAGGATAAGCTTACCTATAAAAGCATTTGGTATTGTTATTTTCAGCCACATCCTGTCCCTAATTTCTAGGCCTGAGTCCGGCTGGGCCATACATTTCACTACCGAGGCCATGTCTGAATTAACTGACAGGTTAAAGTCATCATAGCCTGCAAAAACAACAGGCAAATATTATACCATTTGTTTTGGAATTTTTGTTGGGTATTACATACTACATTCAGCTTCAGGAATTGTTAAATCAGGAATCGTGATCGATAATGTGTTCCAGAAACAACTCTCCTATGGATCAGATGCTTGACTCAAGCAAGAAATATATAAGCAGATTTATTGTCGATATCTGTGCATGACTGCTCAAAAAAGCAAGAAAAGAATAAGCACACTTTACACTGAATATGCACATGGTACAGTAAAAACCTATCAAGTCTAACATTTTCTGTGTGGGGGTCAATTGACATAAACCCTCTTGATTCTTGTTTTACATGTAAAATAAAATATCTCTACTAAAGATGACAAGTTTTTTTATGGTAAACTAGTGTTAGACTTGGATATTGAGATTCACTGTAACATATCATTTCAATGACAACTGAAATAGTAATTCAAACCTAAAGGAATCAATTTAACATTACATTGGCATGCAACAAAACTCTTTAAACACTTACGTTCAGATTCTGGAATTGAACTAGTTAAGCTCTGCATCCACTTACGTTCTGACTCAGGTATTGAACTAGTTAAAGATGAAGAGGTTGAGGTCATGGTCGCTACACTGCCGGGTCCGTGAGGAGGTTTACCCATTATCTCCCGCTGCATGGCTGTAGTATGGGCAACCCAAGCTGATGGGTCTATCGGCCTCACAGGCTCCTGACGGGGTATCGTGAAGTATCCTTTAGGGTTAGGGTCCCAACATTTGGCAACTACCAGTGTAACTGGTTGGGGAGCATTTCCATAGCTGAAAGAAAATATTTGGTTTTTGAATATACTAATTTTAAACAGTCAGAGGAAACATCTGGGACAATCTATAAATCTTGCGAGCACCCTTATAAGGCAAAGCATGAATGAAGATTCTTACCCAGGTCTTTGGACTGCTTCTCGTAAGGTTTTTACTGCATCGTCATTGCTCATATTTTCAAAGCTAATACCATTCACTTCCAGAATCATATCTCCTGGTTCTATACGGCCATCTTGGGCAACAGCACCTCTGAAAGTGAAATGTAAAATATTAAGAAAAACATAAAGAGGTTATTTACTGAGAGGAATTGAATATGGGTTTTTACAGAGGGGTAATATGATATAAATCCTCATATTCTTCTGTTATTTGTGATGAATGTAGACAGTTATTAGTCTATATGTTCAAGGATTATAATTTTCTATAAATTTCTATAAACATCCAAATGGTAGTGCCTCTACTCTAAATAATTTTCTCATCTCTGATGTCCACTCTATTTTCCATTCTGAAACATGACCACTATATTCTTCTCATAGATACCTACCCCTTCATGATGGAGCCGACATATATACCACCATCTCCGCCCTTGTTACTCTGGCCTACTATGCTGATTCCAAGGAAATTCACCGTTTCTGAAAAACAGGTAGACTTTCGTTTAAACGTGACAGAGAAACAATCTTTTGTTTCTAATTTTATGAAGTGTAAACTTGACAATCTCTCTTGAAGTTAATCCTTTATCTAGGAGTTCATATGACTGAATCAAGTAAGATTAGTTCTCAACTAGAATTTTGTAAAACTGATAAATTGTCACCTAGGCAAAATTACAACACTATACTTATAAATGGGGGAAGAACAGTTCTAATCTATGTTATCTTTTTGCTGAACAAATTATAGCTTACCCATATTTAAAGTGACTGTGATAATATTTAATGACATAGTTGAATCGGTTATGCTGCTAAATGAAGAAGCCTGAAAGTAAATGAAAACAAATTGAAAAATATTGCATAAATGGACAGACAGATACATGGATAAATGGAAAGACAGAGCCAAAGACAGACAGGTGAGTGTGTGATTCTATAGGCTCTAAGAGTTAACTTTGAAATAAACAATATTTAATGGCAAATAACCAACATTTAAGAGATAAATCTAAATGAAAGTAAAATATCTTATATCATAGCTGTCATACATAAAATAATGACCAGTTTCATACGATTTTTCACATTTCAATGTTTTCTGTTCTTGCAAATCAAAATTCATTATTTTCAGCATTTCTTTAATATTTGAAATGGTCAAAATCTTAAAAACACACAAGAATAAGTTATTTCTACTAAAGGCGCATCTAGACCTGAAGTATCTTGACTCTTGAGTGCTCTCAAGTGGATCTATCTTCTGTTAGTAAACTGTGAATAAATCGAACAGTCTAATTATCTTGACACAACAGAGCTTTAATAAGATATACAGTGTATGTATCAAATCCATTTGACCTGCATAGTGCATCACCCTGATTTAAAGTGCTCAGGCATCCTTCCTTCTCCCTCTGAGGTATTTCTGAGATCTTATTATCCACCGCATTCAACTTTGATATCAGTAGGTCAAGAATCCAAGGGAATGAAGGTTTTTCATTCATTTGACTGTTCTGAAGTTCAGAGTGCCTCTGATATAATTTGATTAACAGGTTAATAATTGACTGGTGTTAATTCTTTATGACCATCAGTAACCTGCAGCTCTGGCTGTATTCCAGAGGGAGAAAGAGAACTAGTGAAACTAAGGTTGACTCCATTGTTCCAAATATATAAATAATTTACTTACTCTACTAATAGGTGGCAGTTTATGCCGCCTTCTCCGCCTTTGCCGATGACGCCCATATTTGGATGATCGGGTTGTTGTGTCAGTGATTGTAGAAAAGCGGCTGTCATCCTCTGAGTCAAAGAAACTGGTAGATTCCAAGTCACTAGACATCATTGAGGACGAGCCATCAAAGCCATAGTTCCGTTCACGTGGGTCTCGATGTTTGCTGTGACCATTTATTCTTGGGACTGCAAGTAGAGTAAGAATATGTTAAACTTAATAATGCACAATATAACCATATTCAGTTGGAGCTTTATTTGTTTTTATTCATTTCCAAGAATTAACAACTAATTTGTTATAAAGGCAGGGAATGATTTGTACTTATACTTCACAAAAGCTCATATTCTCTAATCTAAATGGAAGTTTTCTAGTTTCTCTTAACATAGGACTTTTTCTGTATCATTTTCCCTCTAGGAAGTGACATTTCAGGAATTCTTCCTACTAATAGTTAAAGGACTGCAGAGTATTTTCCCAGCAGCCCAAATACCTTCCTAGCTACATAAACATAACACACAGTTCCAGACGACAACTTGGAATCTACCATTTTGTCTCTAAGAACCTTGTATGGATTTCATTCGAGATAACTTCCACCGAGGGACGTCATAAAACATATTTGTGATGTGAAAACCATCTCTACGAGGTAATAAATATTCTTTGACGTACATATTGATTAGCTGTTGGTAAAATATATGAGCTGAGGTCTAAGTTGGAAGGATAACTTATCAACTCATCATACAGCTTTGAAATGAAAATTACACGATTTTGGAATATTTCCGAACTGTGGATCTACTTTACTTGCCCTTTGCGATCATTCTGATAATTTTATATCTTAACTCTTCCCTAAAATCAGCAGATCCTTATTTATGTAGAGTTTGCCTCAAAACTCAGCTTGAACGTAACCATTTGTTAAACAATTCCAATTATTGCTCTTTTTCATGTTTTACACTTAAAAAGGATGAACACAAAGATGACTTATGTAAGAGTCTAAATGTCGTAGTCAATCATAACTGTTATTAATCAACCAGGCCCAACATCAATCATCCCTGTGTGCTATATGTTCCACGAATTCTACAAGATAGAGAGATCTTCAGATGCTGGTAGATCTGATGAGAATTTGACAACCATCATGTTGCTTTAACCACATACCTTGAAATCCATAGATTTTATTTGAGGTAACAGTGTTTTTTGCTTTAAAAAGAAAACACCATTTAAAAAACTGACATGGTTAGAATTTCAAACGAAACCACAAAGCCAAAGAATATATGCAACTTTTGATTGAAATGTATTTATAATATGGAGTAATATGCTTCAGATCCATATAACTGGGTTTACTAAATTATAGGATTTCTACTTGAGTTGATGTTTCAAATTTGTTACATATTTTTCACATAATCTTTAGGGATTTGGATTTTTATGTTTTCAAGTTAAAGTGATTTCTTACATCTTAAGTTACTTAAACGGTGTAGAATATCAGTGAAACATTCCCATATACCATTGTTTAAAAAATAGTCTCACAATTGTTTTAGCCGCCTATCAAATAATTTAAATGCAAACCAACACTTTTCACCTTATGTGTGATACAAGACCAATGTAGTCATTCTGATTGAATAGCTTGATATTCCAATTCAAAAGAATACAGCCATTGTAAAATCCAATTCCATAATTAGGTTATAGCACCATAAAAATAGTATCGCTTAAATCACTATCCATGTTTTTCACACAAATATGCTGTTTTCTAATAATATTTTGCCTAACACGCTATGTTATGACACAATCAAGTTTATAAATGTGATCAACAAATAGAGATTGTTTAAAGGTTTCCCTTGTCGAAGTAAACAATGTATTTCTTCTTTCTTTTTAATTATTATTAAATATACCTAATGGAACATAAAATATTTCATAGTCACTTTGATACATGTCCTATTAACATCTCATGTTTAACCTTGAAATCAAAACAAAGTATCCATATATTTGAAATTGACTCAGTTTTAAAATCTTTTTTATCACATGACTCTATTAATTATAATATCAAGCAAAATTTTGACAGTGCATCTCAGTGACAGTCTCCATTTCTAGTTTGCATTGTTAAGATTTCTGAGAGATACTGAATCGCCGTAGACTTGCTTTAATGCAAAGAAGATCTCATCTCAAACAAAACATCATCAGTATGGATGTGAAATAAATATTAGTTGCATTACACAAGTATTATGCAAAAATGCATGGTCTGAATGGCTCAAGACTAGATCAAAAAACTATTTTTTATTTCAAGAGAATAACCCAAGAGCTCTCACAGAAGGTAACACTTAACCAGACTTACCATCTATCTCGTAAGTATCAAACACTACACTTCTGGGTATAAGATCTGGCAAAGGTTTCCAAATATCCTCCATTCCATAATTATTTGTTATGTAATTTCCATTGATGTAATCATTTCTTTGGATGTCTCCTGTATCTTTAATGTAACTATCTTTGCAATATCCACAATGACAAACAACATCTTCTTCAATAAAACTCTGCATCTTTGCAGTAAGAACATCATCATCTTCATCTATTGCTTTGTTTCTTTTACGTTTCTTAAACAATTTACGAAATAACTTCGATACAAATGGCATTTTACTGTCTTTTGTTGTTCTCAGTTTATGGTAGTTCTTTTTCCAATGAAACCCTATGCAGTAGTCCAACATGACATGTGATCTTACAAGAGGACCACCTCTAACTTTAAGCGAAATGAACTATAAAACATCTCTCTGTTTAATCAGTATGAAGTAATCCACAGCTTATATTCTTGACATTTGCTAAATTCTAGTGCCTTGTAATAGCAAATGTTGGATTATCCAGCTACTTCAGGCATGCCACTTTTATAACATGTTATAATCTACTTTTATTTTTGTAATATTTTTTTGTCTAAAAGTGTGTGTTTATTCGCCTGGTTAAGCCTATAATAGTAAGCTCTCGACTGGTGAGATTACGATCAACATTACAAATCTGTTCATTGGTTCTGCAATTGGTGAAACCTCAATCCACATAATATAGATGATATGGCAATTTATCATATATAGACTAATAGTCAAATTCTCTCCAGAGGTTCCAATTCAATTTATACTGATCAAATTGCTTCCGTTAAAACATCCGCAGATCTTTATTTCGGTATTATTCAATCATATGCAAAACTTGATCCTCATTTGTAAATGACATTTCTTTCTCCTTTACTGAGTTAATCAAATTGTTTTGTCTGATTTCTGTAACAAGTGAATGCTGTATTGAAATTGGCAGAAATCGTGGTAGTGCCTTCACCATATATTCCGCCTGTAGTTCTGGTTTCTATTCTAACCACTGTCTATTAACAGCTCACTTTCCCAGTGTTAATGCTTGCTATCTGAGGTCTGTAAGAAGTGAGGGGGTATTGACAGGTACTGTAGAGGATGTTACTCTCTCTATTATGTATCCTTACAACGCAACATCACTCTATAGATTACACAACCCCTCAACTCTTTATTTTAAGCTTTCAGACTCACTGAGAATTGATTCAAATTGATTCCACTATCTTCAATGGAATTTCTATCATTCCATACCCTACTGGTCCTTAGCAGATAACCTAAATGTTCAATGTATTTTACGTATAGTTCAGCTTCAAGACAAAAGAGCATTTTTTATCATTGTAAACCGAATATATTTTGTGAATTTGTCTGCTGGTATAACTGAATGAATTCTCTATGTTGACCAGTTTAATGCTTTGCGAATTTTTCATTCATTCTAATCATTCATGTGAAAATCCTTCCCCGGGCCTCAACAAGATATGTCTTACATAATCCAGTCCATTTACAAAAAATATTTAACACTTGAAAATAATAGTACAGTGATTGAGATAAATTAGGTTTGCATTGTGGATAAGAAGGCTATCAACACTGTGCCAACTTATATGTTTTCCTGTCATGATACTTTTCAATCTCTGCCAATTTTTGATTGCTTCTTTACTCATCCAATCACCTCTCTGATGACCATCTTACTTGTGTGGCCACATCTAAATGGCGTTATCACGAAGTATGCTGGAAATTATAGCCTTATACTTCGATCCTTATCTAATTTACTAATAGGTTTGATGTGTTAAATCACCTTAATGTAATAATGATCAAAAGTGTCATGTTATTTTTGTATCTTTTTAGAAATCTACTTTCATTATCTATTTTATTTTAGTATTGCTATTACCCCATATTATGTACATGTATATGTAGCTATTATGTATCTCGAAAGTAATTTGGTAGATGTTAACATTTGGCATCAATATTGGCACTAAAAGTGTAATGGTACAACTGAGTGGATACTGGATGGTACTTGAAGTCAATTAAATTACACAATTTGTGTTTGTCCATTATCAACCTACCTAAATCCTGGTAAGTTTGGCATGCATAATTCATAATATCTAAAATAGGAACACTTCGATATACAATCTTCACTGAATTCCCATAAAGATTCTGGCCAGGTTACTTAGAATATCAGCATGACTTGGAGTATTTTCATCACATCTTCAGTCATAATGTTGATATTTTCTAAAAGGTGTGTAAGCTCACGTTTCATCACTACATTGTAGGTGTTCGCTATATCAAACGGCAAAGTTAGTTTTAGCAAATGAAACAAAGTTATCTTGGTTAACTGAATCATCTTAGAATATCAAACAAATGTCAAATAAGATGTCTAATTTTGTAAGTACACAGAAAATTCACACTAAAACTAATCAAAAAACGGTTAAATCCAGCTTAAAGAATCTGAGCTTAACATAGGAAACGTTTGCTACGGGAAAATACAATTTTTTATTCTCAAACAAAACATGTATTTGTGTTAAGATATTAATAAGATTATAGATAATTAGATTAATTGATTTAAATACATTTGGTTGAATGAAGGTGGCCATGTTTTGTTCAAGTTAAAACTTGCCAAACTGACAATTTCCCACCATCCAGATTATTCCGTCATACCACACATCACACCGGTATATAATTCACTAATTCGCAATTTTCATGCTTTTTAAATTCACCGACACATTGGATTCACTAATCCATTTCATATGATTTCAATCGTAAAATCACTTATTTGTGACATCATGTTCACGAATGGATCCATTAGGGAAATTAAGCTTCAAGTGAAAGTAATATGTTATTTAGTATGATCTAATTATAGGTTCCCATCTAAG